GGTTTATATAAAAATAATTTTTAAAAAATAAAAAAATATTATTTTAAAATATTTCTAAATAAAAAATATTTTACAAAATAATCACAATCACACCATTATTAGTGGTAACAGTTCATTGAGACAGGCAGAAGTGTCAAACAGAAATAAATGAAGAAAGACCAACTATTGGTCGTTAGGTACATGTTTTCCAAAGCCCTACATTGCTAATTCTGAAAATTCATTGCTATTATAAATGCTGACAGGACGTGAATCCGATTGCCGGAAGAAGTCCTACATAAACTGATCTAAAGGCACAGATTGTGGGCAATTTAACAACATATCAACTGGCAGAACAAAACTCTAGTTTGTAATCAAACTAGAGATGCTCCGCAATTGAATGATAATAAAATGCATGTTATGAAGCAGCTAAGTGAACATTTATTCCGGACGGTACTGCAACAATGAGCATACACTGATTTAATGCAGTTCAACAACTACAAAATTTTGCAAGAACTACGAGAATATCATAGGAAATAACAAACAGCCAATGTCATGAAAGATAATTGCAACATGGATTAAATCAAAGGGATACAGATCCGTTTAAAATTAACTTTCTCAACATGACAGCTTTCATTTTCATTGCCTTGCTGTTTGCGACATCGATCTTGTTACTATGCATTAATCAGCAGGAGTGTGGGACCATATTTCAGTTGTATCCTATCCATTATAGCCACATTGACCCTTGAAAAGCTCAATGAGGTTGCAGAGTTGTTTTGGTCCAATGTTTGGACGGTTAAAGCCTCGTATGGTTTTTTGGGGGAAGGGTATGCATCCTTGTCAGCCAAGTGTGCACATGCTACGACATGGCCATTTAAATACTTGACAGCAGGGAGCAGAAGATGAGAGGATACGAGGGACAAAAAATTATATACAGATATGAACACAGAAGGAAACTGTTCAGAATGACACTTCTACTATTCCATCAGAATCCTTCTTTCAGCTTATTCTGGGCTGTCTTTTCATTTTAATTCTTTGTTGTTATTTGTAACAGTGCTATCATACCCTTTATTATTTCTCGATGAGTCTACAAGTGGAACCACTGGATCCTACCCTTTATTATTTCTGGACGAGTCTACAAGTGAAACCACTGGTTTGAATGAATGATGAAAAAAAGCCACTAAATTCAAATAAAATGGTTCTATTGGCATTGGTATTTTGCCGATGCTGCCATTGTTTTCTACATGAGAATGACCTAATCTGAGGGAGAGTTAAGAATGTCAGCATGGTAAAATGCCCGATGTTAGTACAGCTATTAGATTTGAATATAAGAATATAAAAAAAAAAACTGCTATGATCAAATCACCAGGCCGATATCGACGTAGTAGCAACCCCTAATCTGAACATAGCTCAGCAGGTAGAATCCTACCAAACGATGAGTCCAAATCACAGGGGCCACATCAACTGCATTAAAAATCTTTAATTTGTGTTCATCTGATCTCAAACTACTCCCTCCCGCAAATATTTAAGACTGAAAACTGAATTCCATTCATTTTTCTGGAATCATAATGTCAAAGAAGTGCGGCATCGATTGGGGTACATTTATGAGGTGCATGTGCCAGCATTTATAGCTTAACAAATGTTGCAGAAAGGAAATGAAATGAGTATACCTTATAAATGCAACTGGAAAGTCACCATTTTTAAAATAAGAGAGAAATGGGGCCCTAACATTAGCTGCTTTTTCAACCTGAGGATCTACGAGAAACTCCAGAAGAAAGAGTAACCTGATCAAAGAATTTACAGCACAAATTCAAATTGGGATGTGAATATAAGAGACAAAATAAATCTAACTGTACAGTAATCATTCTAGATTTTTGTCTGCTGGTTTTGCCCTAACCTTTGTTTCATGCACAGCCCGCCAACAAGGACCACATGCAGTTTTTGTACCGAAAAATGCTAGTGGACAACAAAATTTATCATTCTTGTAAGAATGCACATCTTCACATCACATATTCTATCCATAAGCTCACTAATTTCTGCTGAGGAAAGATGGGCCCGTGATCCTCCCTGTAAATATATAAAATGGAGTCTGAGCATGATTTATTTGATTATTCTTTAACTTTGTTTTCAAGTGAGGCATCACTTGATAAATTAACATAAACAAATGGATTTATTTTGTCTAGAGATTTTGATGCATGTGTGCAAGACTTTGAAGTTTTCAAATATTAATGCGCTGGCATATAAATCATGGAAAAGTCCGCAACCTCAAGTACATTTCAAATTTACCTGCAAGCTCATAAATTCTGTGTAACCTTTTCATTTGGGGCTACCTGATGCTACAATACAGGATTCAAATGTTCATCATTTAATTATCAGACAGAATGTTTTCCTAAATTCCTGAATTACTTGAAAGTATTCGATCTTAAATTCACCCATACAGTTCCATGTTAAGATGTTTTTTCAAAGTAACTTAGGTCCTCATTTATACTAATTTATTTCTTAGTAAATGCGTCCCAAATCCTGAATCTGTCACTACCTACTAATCAGCAAGTAACGAGAATAAAAACTCTGTTAATGTTAAAACTCCAATGATGGACAAGGTAGCATAAACATTTTCATTCATTTTTTCATTAAAACACAAAAACCTAAATGAAGAAGAAGAAATACAGTAGCATGAGACATGCAAATGTGTTGAGGGGCAGATACAACTAAACTAAGAATCACAAAATTTGATATACTGACAAGGAACAGTAACCTTGAAAGAAGAATCATAGTTCTTCAGACATAAGATTCAAGAAGAACTCCTCTAAACAAAAGTGTAAAAGGGATTCACATATCTTCATAATGTAATGGAAGCATTTTCGTTTTTCTTTTCTTCAGGATTTGCAGATTACCACAAAGCAAGGAAGCAGAGCTTTAGGATTGAGCAGATAAAGCTCCTCAATATTTGAATAGAGACCAACCTTCCCTGCCAAAGAATCAAATCCCGTTTGGCTAGATATTTCTTGTATATCCTCCAAAGGCCTATGGACCCTGCCAGCAATCACTCTGCATACTATCAAAGCTTTCCTTATACATGGATCATCTTCAAATATTTCAATACACTCAAAAGCTCGTCCACTGGTTGAAGTTGTGAACACACCTACTCCACCTTTAAGCTCCTTCTTGGCTGAAAACCCATTTCGAATAATTCGACAAACACAGCATTTGTCAGATGCACATAGACTTGAGGAACCATTTACGCCAAGAGAACATGCAACAGTCGTGCCATAAAACCTCAAAAGCTCATTCCCATCAGCCATGCACCGAGGGTGCTTCTTTGGGAGCTTGCTGGCCTTAATTTTCACCATCTCTCTATATTCTTCAAATCGTGCTAGAGTTTTTTGCATGCTGTGAACCTTCAGCACTCTTTCAATTCGACCACAATGGTTTTCACTCTTTAACCAGCTCGTTCGGCATATGATTTCAACAATTTTTCGTGATGAGTCACCTTCCACAAGTTCGGTGACTGTCAAAAGGAGAAATATAATGAGCTGCTGATAAGGAAAGCTGCTCTGAAATCTCAAGAACAGCAAACCACTTAAAATTAATTGACTTGGAGTTGGAGAGACCAACATCAAAATGAAATACCAGTTTAAATTGTTTCGTGTACAAGTATATAAAGCTAAAAGTGATCAAAAACCAATTACTACGCCTATCTTCTGCTTCACTAAAATATGGAGGTTTCAGAAGAGGATCTCACAGGATAAAAGAAATGCTTGTTGCGGAGTATCTAATAAATTATAAAATTTAGATTTTGAACTAGAAAGAACAATTTGATGCCGGTTAAGAATCTGGTTTAAATTAACAGCAAAGTAAATGGAAAACTCAATTCAATTGCCGCAAAGCCTGCAGCGTAATCATGTCTTGAAAAAACCTTGACAACTATCTAGAGAAGTCAATGATCTCAAAAGCTGAAAGGAAGAAGGTTCTCACTCAAATCTGAGGTGAGAATAAAATGTGTGGCTGCAACTGTGAGGATATCAGAACAATGAAGGGACAAAAGCAAACCTCAAAGATTTTTTTATACTAAAAAATACACACGAAATGGGATTGAGAAATTATATGGAAGATGTATAGATTAACAAATAATTTCAATTTGGAGTTTCTTACCAGCATGCTTGGAGAGATGATGATTTTCAGCAGCTTCCCATTTGTTAAACTGCTCTCCACATTTATGGCAAGTGAGTGTAGAAGAACCATTAAACTTTGTCTCAAGAGAGACCCTACTGCCTGAATGTCCACCAGCACCAAATATACCAGAACCTCCAAATCCAGGCCGTTCTCTGTCCGATAAAAGAAAATGAGACTTTCTTGGAGGAGTACCTGTGTTCCTAATCGAAGGGTTGAAATAGTGCATTGTAGGATGTCCTCCAGGTCCTGGGGTTCCTTGTCGTAAAGTACCAACAAAAGTTGAACCAACAGGGCCATTACTACCACCACTAACACCATTATGGCTGTTACCATGACTAATAACACCACTACCAGCCCCTTCTTGAAGCCCACCAAAACCAGTGATTTTGAGGTCACACCTTGAGTTACTTAAAATAACTTCATGGGTAATTGGGTTAAGAAACTCACTGCTTCCAATGGATCTTGGACTACAACTTGGTGGCTTCTCCATGTGTCTTTTGCTTCCATGTATGACATCTTTGAGATTTGCTATGGACCTTGAACACCCAGACCTTCCTGCTTTTCTCGTCAAGATTGTACTCATATGCTTTGTCGATTTTGGGTCATGAACCTCTGATGGCTCTGATTTGCAATGTAGAGATCTCTTCAAAGAGAACCAAACTGTTGGCATGCTTCTACCTTTTACTGTCCTTCACCCCTTTCTTTTGCTTCTTGGGCTTCAAAACCACAACTTTCCAAAGTAAAACTCCTCTACACGCATCATTTCTAAAAAGCACATCATCGCTTAGCATTTCCCATTTTTTTTTCTTTTTCCACCATGAAAGCTAGCTGAAAAGAAGTATCTGAATATACATACCAATAGTCACTATATAGCTTACTTTTGCCACAGAACTTTCTTTCCCTGCAATTTCCTTTCTACTAATCAAGCATGCTTCAGAACTAAGAAGAATCAAGAATCAAAATTTCTCATGAAGCATCCAAAAAAATCTGAACTTTTTTCTAGAGTGCAGGCTCGTTGGGTGTATTCCATATTGAGAACAATCACCAGTTGAAGCAAAAATTTGGCACTTTTACTAAAATGGGTGTCCATACTGACGAGGAAGAGAAAGACAAACTGACAACCAAAAAGGCAAAAGAAAACCCATTTTAAAAGACCAAAAGGGTATGGTAACTCATTTTAGATTTTAGATTTTTTAAAAAAATATTGAATTAATATTTTTTTAATATTTTAATGCATCAATGTTAAAAATTAAAAAATATATAAATTTTTTAATATTTTTTAAACTAAAAATATTTTTCTGTAAAATCAGTAACCAAGACAGATTACTTGTACACAAGAAATGGAGAATCTTTGGTCTGTGGTGTCTTGTGTAATAAACGACAGTTACAGCTGACATTCTTTGAATTGACTTCTTTTTTTTTATACCAACTATAATATGCTTTCGCCTGAATTGCTATTGCCACGCAGCACCATGGTTACCGGACCGACAAGACCCGAGACATGGATATATTAAGGTAACTTGTAAGATAATGACGTCATTTTAGATAGAAAAAAAGATAACTTGACATGGTTTAGTAAACAGTGAGGTGAATGCCTTTTTAAAATATATTTGTTTTGGAAAAATATGGATTTAATATAATTTTAATAGGATAATATTAAAAATAAATAGTAGTTGGAAAAGTAATATTTTAACATAATTTTATTTAAAAATTATTTTTAAAAAACACATTGGACTATAATATCAAATATATATATTAAGTGAATGTTTAGAAATATAGTAAATTTTGTTTTTAAATATGTTTTAAAAGGATATTTTACTTAAAAATATAATATATTAATAATTTTATTATTATTTTAATATGTTGATATTAATTATTTTAATATATTTTTAAATATTATAATACATTAATAATGTTATTATTATTTTAATATAATTGTTGTAATAAATTTTTAAATAATATTTTTTAAAAAATATATTATATTTCATTGTACTTGACATACAATAATTAAAGCGATATAATATTTCATTGTACTTGACATACAATAATTAAGGCAATCAAATCAATCAAAACCTAATCCAATCAGTTGAATTCAACTAGCTCAGATAAGGAAAAACCCAGCGCAGCTAAGGCCATGGATTGGAACGCAGTGTTACACAATTTT